ACTCTGTCTCTGGTGAAGCCTCTCACCACCCCTGAGCCTCTGGCCTGTACCCCAGTTCTGTATGTACAAATAAATAAATCTTTAAAAAAAAATGATTATTACAGCCCCTCTCACCCGCTGCTCCCCAAAGGGCACCAGGTGGAAGATTGGCTTCTCCCTTCTGGCTGGCTCAGCACTCTGCCATCCTCTCTATCCCTCTTCCCAGGCTGCCAGCCTCTACCACTTGCTGCCCTGCTAGACCCTCAGTCTGCTGGCCTCTTCTGCAACAACAGCCTACGTCTCCCAAGTTGAGAGGGAGATGGTCTCAACCTAGGTTCCACTTTTCTCCCCAACATGATGTGAGGCAGGTAGAGGAACCTGAGGGAGCAGAGCAGGTGAACAGGACCCAGGAGAACCCTTTCCTGGGCTGTGACTTCCTGTTACCACTACCCCTAGGTAGTGGAAGTAGGAAGTAGGAAGCCCCAATAATGGCTTCCAGTTAAGGAGTAGAAAGTGGGAGCCCAGGACTATTTGGGTCCCTTGGGCTAAGGTTGAGGGTGAGGGCTACAGAGCCCGCTCACCTGGGTGGTAGGAGAAACAGTCCCTGCAAGTCTGCAAATTGTTTCAGAAGTTAGTCTCACGATGGCACAAGGTTTTGCTCAAATAGTATTTGCTTGCCATTAATAGTCCTAGGGTAGATCAGCAGGCACACAATCCTGACAAAAAGTCATGTGAGGCATTACTCATCTCACTAATAGAGATGGATAATGCCTGAGAAACAAATATATGGATCTATTCCCTTTAGGGTCCCAGTGTCACCTTGGTGTGGGGTGTCAACAATTACATCGCAGCCTCCTTGTCTTCAAGGTTCCCCCCACCAAGTATAGAAGTCTGGGGCTTTGGACTGTGAAAGCTCAAGATGAACATACTACTGTTTCCACTTTCAAGCCATTTTTCCTTAGCAGAGAGCGATACACTTGCTAACTGTTTGATTGGGGAGAGTTATCTTCCTGGCCCTGGCATCTCATTCCCTCATGTTCAGGGGGTAGCAACTAGATGCCTCAGCAGCTCTGAGCTTGCAGGACAGGCAGTTAGTTACCAAGCACTGAGCTCCAGAGGCTCCTGTACATGGAGGCCTGGCTGGCCCTGCCTCATGTGTAAAGCATTGTAGGTTAGGTCCATCTCTACTGACCGCTCCCTGGGTTTGTCCAGTGTTGTTCTGCTCAGCCTAGAGATAGCTCTCAGTAGGACAAGGAAAACAGAGCAGGGATGGGGTGGGAGAGACGGTGCAGTGCAGTCTCCTCTGCCCATGTAGATATCCCACTGACAATTTGCATTTCTGTCTTTGGCAAGAATGGTGTGTGTCAGGGATCTGTAGCTGCATGAAGGTCACATTCCACTTTGTCTCATGCTAAGTGTCTTTGAAAAGGGCCCTGGTCCTTCCAGGGACATTATCATCCTCAGGACAGTCTCAGCAGACCCTGCCAGATTGCAGTGAGGAGCTGGCACTGGGCAGTGCCAGCCATGGTGTCCGTTCTAGGTGGCAAGGCAGCCCTGGCATCAGGGAGGGGTGGGAGGAGACTACCGTGGAACTGCCAGACACCAGCTCCCGCAGACAAGTGCGTCTCCCAGAAGAAACCCCGGGGCAAAAAGGCTGTTGGTGATTGGTCAGTCAAAAGAGGCCTGTCTCTGCAGAGTCCAGGAAAATTTAAGAATGTGCTTAAGCTTTCAGAGAACGAGGTGAAGGATAAAATTACTGGGAGGTGTGGAGATTAAGGGCTGCCACTGCAGCTCTGAAGGGCAGCCTGGCAGATGGGTTGATGCAAAAATCTGGAATGGATTTAGTATCACCGGTAGCCCAAAGCACAGACAAACCCATGTTAACGAGAAGCCTGAGGTGGTGTAAGAGATTTAGGGCACAATTCCAGCAGTCACACAACCCAGGTTCTGGAACTTGGTCCCTGGCTCCTCCCACAGGCAGAGACTTAAACTTTCCTGAATTTGCTGAATGAATGATTTTGGGCCTGGAGCATATTTGTGTTTTCTTTCAGGCTTGTAGTTGACAGGAACCTTTGGAATGAGTGGGACCTGCCATCTAGATACATTTAAGGTGTCCCCTGTTGGTGGCTTCTAAAATAAATGGTGAATACTGAGGTACGGGTAGCCAAGGATAGCTTGGAATCCTCAAGTGTGCCAGGATGGCTACTGAAACAATGTCCCCTACGGGCAGATTGAAAATGCAATATTCTCATCGAGGATGTAATGGCAGGCCAGTGTGCTGCATAACATCATCCACCAACTGGACAGCCTGTGGGACTGGAGAAACCACCAGTGTTTGGAGTCTTACCCAGTCCCTTTCAGTCTTAACAGGTCAGTTTATCCACTGTTGTTCCTGTAGTGCCTGATCCTCTAACAATCCTGAGGCTGGCAGGCCTGTGACACTTGCTATGCAGGCTTAGATGGGCTAACTCTTTGGGGGAGTCAGGAGAGTACCCTCCAGGAAGAAGAGCCAAATAAGTCTCTGAACTCTGCCTACTTCCTTGCTCCCAGGAGGTAGGGGGACTTCTTGTTCCCTATGAATTCCATCATCGCACTCCCTTGCCATCTGGCTCCTGGACCCAACCAGGAGCTGGTTGGGTCCAGCCCATAGAAGCCTCTGTAAGAGACTGGGGAAAGTAGGGTATTTAATCCACAGCAGCTGGGGATTTGGCAATGTCTGTGTTTCTCTGTGGAGACGGCTCCTGGCCATACCCTTTCTAGTCCAGCTCCAGCAATATGATTCCCTGTTGCTGTTTCAGAGCTGGAAATTGACACCCCATGTTCCAAGTCTTTGGGCAGTTTACCATCCTTTCTTGCTCCCCTTATTC